GCCAGTTTGTTTTCAGATTGCTTTTCTGACATTTCTACAACACAGCTTGCCCCTTCCAAACAGAGAACAGGACCCAAGAGCAAACCCAAAATTCTCGCTAATGTCCCATGGAGACTCAACAGCAAACCCCGCCTCAGGCTGTGCCTGCCTCAGGGAAATACAGAAAAATCTCAGAGGGTGGGACACCCCGGGTAGCAAGGATTGTGCTGGGTTTTCTGTAAATCAGTCCCTGAAGAACCATCCTTTTCCAGTACAAACTGGTGCTTCCTGCTCTTTCAATGCCTGCCAGGCTCCTGCTTTATCAGTTGTAGGTTCATCATGGGATGGTTTGGGTTGGGAGAGACCTTAAAGCTCATCCCACCCCTGCCATGGGCAGGGACACCTCCCATTATCCCAGGTTGCTCCAAGCCCTGTCCAACCTGGCCTTGGACCCTTCCAGGGATCCAGGGGCAGGAAAGCTGCTCTGAGCAACCTGTGCCAGGGCCTCCCCACCCTCACAGGGGAGAATTTTTTCCCAAAATCCCATCAAAACCTACACTTACATATCCCTAAAATTATGCACTACTTGGGAGTATCCAAGCTGTCCCTTGCACAGCACTTTTTAGGGCCCCACAGGGAGGGAGGGGAGCTGCTTTTCTCCTTGCTAAAAATACCTTTACCCTCCCTGCATGACCACATGCTCCCAGTCCAGCCCCAAAGTGACTTTGCCTCTGGGAAACCACTCAGCCTCCGTGGAGCCCTCAGAGCTGAGCCTCTCCTGACTTTTGGCACCACTGCTGGCAAAGGGCAGCTCCTCCACCCACCCACCTCGTGCTGGAGAGGGGGAGTGCTGTCCCTGGCAAGGGAACAAACACCAACAGCTCCAACCCTGAGCACAACTCCAGCACACACAGAGAATTTTGCTGCTTCAAACCCAGCTAGGCAGGGAGTGGTTCTCCAAGGCAGGAGCTGTTTTACAGACAGCCATGATTTCATCAGACCCCAGTCCAATTTTGTTTTTCGTGTGCTCAGCCAGCAACACCCCGCAAAGCCCAAGGTTGGGGTGTGGTGGGACAGCACCCTGTGACAGCCCCAGGTGTGCCCATCACCCCTCCCATGCTCCGGGGTCCTGTTCAGGGATTTGGGAATTCTGCGTGGATGCCGTGGCAGCGCTCAGCATTCCAAGGAGCAGCCAAAGCCTCATCCCGGCACAGCCAGCACATCCCTCCCTCCCGGCCGACGCTGCCCTTCGCCCGGCCCCGCTCCTTTTGCAGGGATTTTTTGGTTTTTAAAGAGAATTCCGTGCTGCAGGCACACAGGGCAGGGAAAAGCAGCAGTTTCAGCTCTCGGCCTGCTGTCAGCAGCACGGCTGCATCCCTGGCTCCACGTGAGCCCTGCTGGTGTTGGGAGCTGCATCCGTGGGCACTCTCCTTTCCCCTGGGACAGCCCCAGCCGTGTGGAGAGCAGACAGGCAACTCCTTCCCGGGAATTATTTCTATTAAAGACAAGCTGTGCAGTTCAGAAAGAGCTCAGCTGGTTCTCTCTGAGGAGCTCCTGCAAGGTCATGAAGCACAAGCTTAGAAAAACTGAGAACTTCCAATTCTTGTAAGATACAAACGCAAGTAAAGAAAATAATATATTATCAATACAAGAGAAAAATGCAATTAAAAAATTTTACTTTATGCTGTAAAATAATTGCTTTGTGATTTGGTGCCCAGCTCCAAGACCTCCTGATTTTTGTTGGCCTCACTGCAGCAGGATTGGAAGGTCCAGCCAGGGTTTTCCCTGGGACAGCAGAACTCAGAGACTGCTGGAACTTGCCTGCTGGTTAAAGGCACCCTCAATCCCCACCCCACAGCCCAGGAACACTCCTGGAGTGATGGGAAATGGGATGGATGCCAGTGGCAATGCACACAGAGCGTGGCACCAGCAAGACAGGATTTGGGGGTGCCCTGCAAGGTGGTTTTGAGACAAAACATCCCTGAGTACCCTACATCCACTGCCTGGCCCGAGCTCAGGCTCTGCCTTCCCCTAAGCAGGCTGACTGCTGTGGACATGACAGTGAAGCAGAGAATCAATCACCTGCTGCAGTGGGAAAAGCAGAGGAGCCCAAACCCAAACCCAGGCGCTGCTCAGCCACAAGGGATTGGTGATTCCTGAGAGTGGCATCAGTTTTATTGTCTAATAAAGTCACCTCCAAACCATCCCCCTCAACCCTCAGGGGAGGCAGGAGTGCCAGGGTCACACAGGGAATGCTGGTGCAGAGCCTGGGGACCCCGGGGTGTCACATCACACAATTCTGGGGAGAGGGAGAGGAAATAAATGAGAGCATGGCAGGGGTAGCTGGTGGGAGGTGCTGGGAAGGTTTCACATCCCAGATCCTGCTGGAATTAGGGAAACACCCCAGGACTGACATGAGCTGAGGCAGCATCCTCCTCTGAGGGCTCAGTGAGACCCCAGCACCAGAGAATCCCCCTGCAGCACTAAACCCCAACCCCACTGCTGCCAGCCCGAAAACATCCAAATCCAAAACCCAGCCCTGCACCGCAGGCAGAGCTCTGCAGAGAAGATCCCACAGTGCTGAAAGCTCTGGTCCCGTGTTAATTAAAGCCCATCAAGTCATCAGCAGCTTCAGAATAAAGCTGGAAGCTCTAACCAGCAGGAGCATCAGCTGCTGGAACAGGCACACAGCTGCATTTTGGGAGATGTGGTCCACATCTCCCAGAATTCACAACTTTGGTGCCAGAGCCTTGGAGAGGGGCTGGGCCACCACAGGGTGACAAACCCTGTGCCCTGCGAGGCTGTAAGAGCCATTAATGTCCTGTAAACCACCATAAAAGGGAGTGTAGAGAGCTACAAACCCTAAGCTGGAATTGTGATATGAGTAAATCAACAATGCTTTAAAGAAGCAGGTGTAATATAATATCTATATCTTTATCTATGCTGTTCTCCTGTGAAGACGCATAAGAAAAATGAATAAATGTAAACCCTAAGCTGGAATTGTGATATGAGTAAATCAACAATGCTTTAAAGGAGCAGGTGTAATATAATATATATATATGCTGATCTCCTGGGAAGATGCATAAGAAAAATGAATCAATGTAGATTAAAAAGTCGCAAATCTCTGCAGAACTTCTCTGGAAATGGTTAGCAAAGTCACTTTTTCAAATCAACCAACTGAATCATTGCTCCCTTAACAAGAATTCTTGTTGATGTTCCTTCAGCCGGAGTCCTCCGCGGGACGAGCAGGGAAGTGCTGCTCCCCAGGCTCAAAGCGCAGCCAGCTCTGCCCTCTGCCGATGGCCGGGGACCGCGCTGGCCCGGGGACGTGGCCGTGGGTGACACCGCTTCGAGGCACGTTTGGAAAAGAAGAGCCCTTGGCTCCCAGCCTGTTTGCTCCCCTGAATGTGATCACAATGACCGCGGAGAACTCGCTGCTTTTGGGGAGCCCAAGTGCGCCCACCATCAGCTTCGGGGGGCCCCCAAATCCCCCCAGATCCCTGGGAGCGGGGACTGCAGGTGCAGACACCCAGGTGAGAGGGAAGGAGCCTTTCCCAGGAAGCTGGGGAAGGAGAAGAACGCCTGAATCCTGGCATTCTCTGAGCCTGTCCCAGGGGGGCTCTGTCCCCAGAGCTGAGCTGGGGCTCCTGACCCCACCCCGGAGCAGCAACACCTCCTGGGGTGACCCCGACACACCCCGAGAGCCCAGCACCCCGACAGACACCCGTGGGAACCACGGGAGGAGCAGGAAGGGGGTGACCCCAGCGGGACACCCGGAGCGGTGTGGCCGTGCCCCCGGCGCGCCCCGCCAGTTGCGCTTTTGCTTTGCGCGGAGAGGGAGGGAGGGAGGCACCGGCCTGGGGACCGCTGCAGCCGCGGGGACACAGCGGGACGGCCACAGCGCAGGTAGGGCTGCCACTCCTCTGTCCCCGGTACCTTCCGGGCGCGCTGGGGGGGTTCAGTCGGGATTTTTTTGGGTGTTGTGCCGTGGATTTGGGGAGGCTGCGCCGGGAGTGCTGAGAGGGGATGGGACAGCTCAGGGACAGCCAGGGGGGTCCTGGCTTCACCACAGACCTGGTGTGACTCCCAGAGTGAGTGGGTAGAAGGGGGGAGATGCAAAGCCCAGCTATATTCATTTTTTGAAGAGAAAATACCTCATTTATTGAAGAGCTCCCGTGTGTGCCCATGGGATGCTCTGAGCATCCGAGTGGAGAGCAGGGGCATGGCTGAAGCTAAAGCACCCAGCCTTGAAGTTTCAAGCTGTGTTTTCTGCTGTCATTGAGTGAGCAGCTGAATTTAAGGATTGGCCCCAGCTCCAGCGATTCTCAGCCTCTGCAAACCCAGCAGCACCTGGGAAGGGACTGGTCTGAAAGGGGCCCTTGAGGCCACGCAGCCCCATCCCCCCACACAGGGATAACTGACCCAGTTCCCACTGCTCCAGCTTTCCTTGGGTTTGTCTCTCTCTGTTTGTCCCAAGTGCTCTGCTCCTCACAAGTGGTACCACACTGATTCTCCATGGGCCAATTTCCATTTACTGCAAGAACCAGGGAGGAAGAGGACCAGGGTCATCACAGCACAGGGACATGGCTGGGGGCCATGTGCTGATGGTTTGGGGGGATAATTCACAGCTTTGGTGCCAGAAACCTCTCTCAGGGATATCAGAGTGTGCCAGGAAGGGAGAAGGAGGGTGGGGGATTAGGCTGACACACAGCACTGCTGCTCCCGGTTATTTTCCCTTCTTAACCAGGATAAATATTAACAAAGGAGGACAAGAGCTTTTGCAAAGGATTAAAAGGCAAAAGCAGAGTATTTCACATGGCATTAAACCAGAGCATTTATTTTTTCCCCTTCATATTCCTGGAATTTAGTTAGCACAGCAAGGGGGGACATTGTTCTGATGGAGAAAGAGATAAATCCCAAATATCCACCAGGAAAATACTTCAAGGCAGAGAAGGCTCATCTTCTGTCATTTGTTAAAAGAACAAAAAAAACCCCAACCCCATACAACATTCAGTTTCTGGTTTTAGCATTTCTATTTTCAGTTCATACCTTGTAAATTCTGTTTCCTGCCAAGGCAGGCCAGCAGCATTTCAGGTGAGCCAGAGAACAAAACGGGCACTGGAGAAGCCCAGGCCACCCTGGGCCAGCTCTCCCCTCCCCACAGGGCCCCTTTGGAGGGACAGAGCCACCCTCACCCTGCCTTCACTCTCACAGGAAACTGAATTTCCATTTGATGTTTCCCCTGTGCATGTTCTGCTTTTGTTTTAGGTTGTGGAGGAGAAGAAGGAAAAACACAAGAGAGGTGCCAGGCAGAGCCCAGGCCAGCTCCCCCAGGAGGGTAAGTGAGGAGGGGACACCAGGGTGCTGCTGCTGTGCCCCTGCCACCCCCGTCACAGGTTTTATGTGTTCTTAAAACACCTCCTCACCCTGAACACGAGGGGACTGAGCACCCCCAGCTCAGCTGGGCCAGCAGCAAGGGCAGGGCTTGGTGGAGGATCCATCCAGGCTGATCCCTCCCTGGCTCTGGGCAGGAGCAGGAGGATCCATCCAGGCTGATCCCTCCCTGGCTCTGGGCAGGAGCAGGAGGTGGAGGATCCATCCAGGCTGATCCATCCCTGGCTCTGGGCAGGAGCAGGATGATCCATCCAGGCTGATCCCTCCCTGGCCCTGGGCAGGAGCAGGAGGATCCATCCAGGCTGATCCATCCCCTGGCTCTGGGCAGGAGAAGGAGGATCCATCCAGGCTGATCCATCACCCAGGCAGGAGCAGGAGGTGTTGGCAGATCCCAGCTCTGAAAGGGCTCCAGGCACGAGGCAGCAGCAGGGAGAGCACCCCCAGACCCAGCCAAGCCAGGAGCTGCTCCCAAAGCCTCTCCCCACCCAGCTGGGTTTAGGACCCGCTGTGGGTTAAACCCCCAGGAGTTCCTAAGGAGCATTGGACACCTCTAAGCAGCCTCAGGTGAGGAGCCTGAGCACTGCTGAGGGTGAGGAGCTCAGCTGTGGGGCAGAGCCCAGCTGAGAGCAGGGTGAGGGGCTGCTCCCACAGCCCCAGCTCCTGCAGGGGCTCGTGGAGCAGATGGATACCCAGCTGTCCTCCAGCACATGGAAAATGCTTTACCCAGGGTGGACCCAGCTCTAACAAGCTGATTTTAGGCTGGCTACAACTCTTACCCACTGCTCTGACTCATTAGGCACAAATCTTCATCCAGTGCCCCAGCGCGGCTGATTTGGGGGTACCCATGGAGAAATCAGGGGAAAAGCTGTTCAGGGGGAGAAGGAGGCTGAGCCTGTGGAGAGTCTCTCACTCACCCCCTCACAGTGAGGGGGAAGCAAGCACAGAGCATGCAAACCCAAATTTCCTCTTTCTGGAGATTTTTTTAGCATCCTGCTGTTTTTTTACACAGCACATGGCGCTGAACTCTGTGATGTTGCTGCTTGGGATTTCCAAAGCTCAGTTTCTCACATTGCCGAGTTTTTACACCCCTCCCCAGCCCTGGGGGTGCCTCTGGGTGCCCTGGCTGAGCCCCCTCTCTGCCCCCCACCTTCAGCTGAGCCCTGGGGACCCCTCGTGCCACAAGGAGGGGCAGAAAGTGCAAGTGCCTCCCTGCCCCAGGGCCAGGCTGGAGGGGGCAGGGAATGGAGTTCCAGGAAAGTTGCTGTGTGGTGGGGATGGGGAAGGCAGGAGCTGAGGGGCAGCAGGAAAAATAAGATGTGCACGTGTGGAAGGGCTGGGGGTGCACTTTGTCCTTCCCTCTGTGTGTCCCAAGGCCCAGAGATGGAGTTAAGGTGGATTATCCCTCCTGGGAATGCAGCCAGGGGAAAAGGAGCTGGATCGAGTCTTCCTCAGTGTCACTCCCAGAGATGGAGTTAAGGTGGATTATCCCTCCTGGGAATGCAGCCAGGGAAAAGAAGTTGGATCGAGTCTTCCTCAGTGTCACCCCCTGAGCCTCTGCCAACAGGAGAGGAGAGACAAGCTACTTTAAACTGATAAGAAAAATTGTTTTAAAAAATATTATTAATTGTGACTTTCACAAGCCATTTTACCCCACTGCTTGAGTTAGATGCTCCCTCTTTAAAAGGAAGGAAGGAAGATATCTCAGTCTCCTTGGTGAGAGAAAATACAAAAATAGACATGTTTCCTTTTATGGCAGATTTTCTGCTTCCACCCAAAACTACTTCGAAGTTTCGGTACCATCACACCAGCAAGTATTGACCATTATTAAATAAGTGTTCACATTTTTTACATAAGCACTGGGAAAAAGCCAGCAGGGACTGCAGCAAGTGTCATTTTACCTTAAAAAATAAAATTTAAAAAAAATTAAAAACGTTAAAATATTTTAAATTAAGTAAATGTGCCTTTGGTGTCTGGGTTTGCACCTACAAACTTCTCCCACTTAGACCTGCAGGATAATTCTTCATGTGAAAAGGAAGGCAAACTTGAGAGAGTTTAGGCAGAGATCTGAATTTCCTCTACATTTATCAGATCTGGCTGAGGTTTTTTTGTCTGACACATTCAGATACCATCATGTGTTTGGCCTGCAATTTTAAATAAAATCCACCTCCAGCCTCCTTAGTACCAGCTCTGGTATTGCCAACAGCCCCAGATGTGCACGACGGGTAAGGCCAGGCTGAGAAGAAGCAGCTGTGAGGAAGTCAGATTGGATCAAATGCAGGTAGTTCTGCAAAGGATGGTTTGTGTCCTATTTTTAAAAGATGAACCTGGTTTTGACCCTATTTTTAAAAGCTGGCCCTGGGTTGGTGAAAGCCACTGACCTGGGACTTCCACCCCGTGACACAGCGGCGGTGGCTGCACCGGGGGAAAGGTTTGTGTGCACATGGGTGACACGAGGAGCAGATTTCCTTCTGCACCTGCAGTTGTGGAGGGTGGGAATGTTCTGAGGGCTTTCCTGGGAAGCCAGGGGAGTGTTCTCCTCAGAAGTTTTTGGGAGGTGAGAATATCTCCAGGGAGGGAGGCAGGTCTAGCACTGACCACGTGCCGGGACACAGGAAGAGCAACACCCTCAGGTTTGGAGCAGAAAATGAACACAATTTCTGTTTATTGCTTGGTGGTTCTGCACCTCCACTGGACAGGGCACGGTGCTTGCTGGGCAGCACAAGAGCTGATCAGCACCAAAGCCACACGGGTCTCTGCTGGAGAGGTGCTCCAGCTTTTCCCATCACTCTTGCTCTGTTCCTCCCCTGTCTCCCAGCAATGCTCCAGCTGCATCTTTTTGTCTTCCAGCTGCGGGGCCACGTCAGCTGCTGAACCCTGTGCTGAGAGAAGAGGCTGAAATGCCACCCAAAAGGTGACAGAGACACAGCTTGGTGAGGAACTGTCCACTGGGCACACAGGGATGCTCTTCCCGGTGCGGATCCCTCCTGCCCACCCCTCCTGCAGGTGACCCCAGCCAGCTGTGACCCATGAGCAGGACACAGGGGCAGGACTGGCATTAAGTCCCCGTGATGAGCCGCTGACCGGAGCCTCCCGCACGGATTCCAGGGCTGGGCTGTTCCCTTTGGATGCCCCTGGCTGCAGGACAGGCAGGGATGGACGTGTTATGATGCCGGGGCTGAGCACAGAGCCGGAGCACAACCATGAGCAACAGCTCCAACTGCAGTGAGACAGACCTCAAGCCCTACTACGCCGTCACCTACACGGTGATCCTGATCCCCGGGCTCATCGGGAACACCCTGGCCTTGTGGGTCTTCTATGGCTACATGAGAGAGACTAAAAGGGCCGTGATATTTATGATCAATTTAGCCATTGCTGACTTGTCACAGGTGCTGTCCTTGCCCCTGAGGATTTTTTACTACCTGACGGGCACGTGGGAGTTTGGAGGAGGTCTCTGCATGCTCTGCTTCTACCTGAAGTACGTCAACATGTATGCCAGCATCTACTTCTTGGTGTGCATCAGCGTGAGGAGGTACCTGTTCCTCATGCACCCCTTCAAATTCAGTGACTGCAGGCGTGTCTGTGATGTCTACATCAGCATTGTGGGCTGGGTCGTGGTCTGCGTGGGCTGCCTGCCTTTCCCACTCCTCAGGATGCAGCACCAGGAGGATAAAAACGCCTGTTTTGTGGATCTTCCCATCAAGAAACTCGACCTCCCCACCTCCATCACGCTGATGACCATAGGGGAGTTGGTGGGGTTTGTGACCCCCCTGCTCATCATCCTGTACTGCTCCTGGAAGACAATCTTATCACTAAAGGAGAGGCACTCTGCTTCCCGGGACCTGGGCGAGAAGAAAAAGGCTTTAAAGATGATCCTCACCTGCGCCCTGGTGTTCCTGATTTGCTTTGCACCTTACCACATCAGCTTCCCGCTGGATTTCTTTGTGAAAACCGGGCAGATCTGGGAGGGCTGCGTGCAGATCTCGGTGTTCCACGCCGTGGCTTTGTGCCTGGCCAGCCTCAACTCCTGCGTGGACCCCATCATCTACTACTTCACCACGGACGAGTTCAGGAGACGCCTCTCCCGGCAGGATCTGCAGGACAGCATCCAGCTGCAGCACCTCAGCTACGGCAGGAAGCACTCCAGGGACGTGCTTGGGGAGGACACCACGGAATACTGAATCCCAAACAGCTGCCAGCACTTCCACTGTTCGTTACATTTTGGCCTTTGCCACAATTTTTTTCCCTCAGGACACTGAGAACAACAATTGAAACTTCTGCTTTCGGTGAGGGTTGGAATAAACAAACAACCCTCACTCAAAAATACCCAAACCTGAGCAAAAATGTGTTTATTTAATATTTCAGGTGCACATTTTCACTGAATAGAAATAGGAGCATTTCCATTCCTCAGCTGGGTGGTCGGACCCATGGGAGAGGTGACCCATGCTCCTCTGTCACCTGTGGCATCACCCAGCCACGTCCTGGCCAGCAAGAATCAGCAAAGATTCTGGGGTCTGGCTGTGCAGAAAGAATTTTATCCTAAAAATCACTGGATGCCATAATATTCTGTGTTTCTGAAGCACAAGGCAGTTCAGCAGAGACTGATTCTCCAGAGAGTGCCCAGATCCTGCTCCAGCCATGCTGAGCATGGAGTGAGGAGCAGAAGGTGGCCCCAAAGGACTTCCCATTTAAATAATTAATGAAGCCTCATTTGGGGGAGTAGCAAATGCCATCACCCCAAATCACACAGCCAGGGAAGCTCCCACACACTATTTTAACCATCAGTTCCCCCTTCTGGGTGCAAAGACCAGGGTTAGAGCCATGCCTTGGCTTTTGAGCCATGGGGCTGTGCTTGGAGGGTTTTTATTCAAACCAGGTGTCCATCAAGCCTTTCAGGTCCTCTTTTCACCCAAAATGGGGCAAATTCTTTCCCTTTCACTGATAACTGACCCACAGCCATCACACCCACTCCCCATTAACAGCAGCAGGATTCAGAGGATCCAAACCTTCCCAAAGTTTGCTGTAATGGGAACGCCCTGGAAGCAAAGTCAAAGGTGCCACAAGAGATTTTTTAAGAAAGGCCCAAAGGTGGATGTTGTTTTAATAATATTTGCTTTAAATTCAAACCACAGAGACTTCAGGCTTGATTTTGGTATTTCATTTGCACCTTCTTGTAAAATGCTATTTTTCTGTGAACATTGCAAATGTTACATTATGAAGTGCAAAATACTGTGACAGTATCATTTTTTTATTTATGCAAATGTTGGTTTATAATTTATATGAGGGAAATACACATTGTAGGAAAATGATGTGAAGCCCAGAGAGTGTCAGAACACAAGAAGTTTGTTTTCTTTTCAGAAGATTTTTCATATAATAAAAGAAAACTCCACCACCTCTTTCCCACAGGAATCTGAGCCAGTGCCTGCTGGCTGAGCAAGCACTGATAATTCATGGAAACCACATTCACAGTGACAAAAATAATATTTATTTTTATATTTCCAGTTGTATATAATAAAATAATAGTTTCTAAAAATGTTTTTTAAATGTAATTCCTGGCTCCTTGTCCCCCCTGCATCACCAATACTCATGAACATGTGGCAGCACCTGGATTTGAAGCCTCTTGAGCACCTGCAGAACATTTTAGATGCTTCCCTGAAATTATTTTACTCTTCTTGTTGCACTGGGGAGGAAAGCCAAGAGCCAGGTTTCCTGGAATAACAGGAATTCCTCCATCTGCAGGAATCCAGCCCATCCCTGTCCCTTCTGGCCACCACGGGAGGGGACCAGGGTGGCCCTGTCCAGCCCCCCAGAGTCACTTTTAGCTCCTGAGGGGGAAAGGTTGTTACATAAAGCGGTGTCAGAAGTTCAGAAATTGTTCAGTGACAGAAACCCCAAGCGGCTGAAGTTTTCCACCCAGAAAATCCCGTGGGTGCAGCAGCGCCTTCCCCCCCGCCACTTATTCAAATGAGTGCTAATTATTCTTTTTACAGGAAGTCTGTGCGATGGCCGGGGTGGGTGACACCAGATGAATTCAGGGGACACCTCCCTGCCCTCCCCCAGGCCACCTCTGCCCCTGGTGGCTTCTGCTGGGGCCACGCTGAGGTCTCACAACCCCTGGGGATGCTGCCACCAGCAGCTGCAGAATGAAGCTGTTCCTTGGATCAGCAGCAGGTGGATTTTCATGCCGTGGGTGTTTTTGCCATGCCCTGTATTTTTAGTGTCTCAGCATCCACGAGCTGGACTCAATGATCCTTAGGGGTCCCTTCCAACTCAGAATATTCTGTGAATCTCTAAAATAACCTGGATAATCTGGTCTGCAGCACTGGAATGGGAACCTGAATGAGAATGAAACTGAAAACAAAAGCGCCCAAACCCCAAATATCCCCTTTATTCTGCAGGAAGAGTTTCCTGTGGGAACCTGAATGAGAATGAAACTGAAAACAAAAGCGCCCAAACCCCAAAATATCCCCTTTACTCTGCAGGAAGGGTTTCCTCTGGCTGCTATCACTGAGCAGCAAAGCCCTGAGCTCTCTGCCCATGCCCTCACCAGGCTGGCTCTGGGCTGAAGTGACAGCTGGCTTTGGGCACAGGATCAGCTTTAATTCCTCTGGGCCAAGGCAAAGCCACTGTGGCAGGCGTGCAGCTCAGGGGTGGTGTGAGGGGTGCTGGGGAGCCTGAGCTGCTCAGAAGGAGCAGAGATTGTTTGGGAGCCTCACTCACACCGGGCACAGCGGGTGAGGCTGCAGGGTCAGGGGAGCAGAGCTCGGGGTGTGCTCCAAGCCTGCCCCGCTTCCATCGCCTCCCTGTGCTCCCTCCCAGCACAGCCTGTCATCCCGGCACCGTGAGAGACCCAGCGGCAGCCTCGGGGCTTTCTGTGCATGCTGGCACGGCCCCCTTCCCTTCCCTTCCCTTCCCTTCCCTTCCCTTCCCTTCCCCTCCCTTCCCTGATGGGATCAGAGCTCTCTCCCCTGCCTGGCCACCATCCTGAACCCCCCAAAACCCCTGAGGTCTGGTGCAGATGAATTCCCTGGTTTAGCTCCGTGTTATTGCTGCTTTGAGCCACCCCATGATGGCCCCTCTGGGTGTCCCTCCTTCCTGCTGCCCTCTCTTCCTCCTCCTCCTCCTCCTCTGCAGGATTTGTGCCCCTGTGCCCGGGTGACACCTCCCAGAGCTCAGAGCCCCCAGCCACCTCCTGCCCCAGAGCTGGGAGCAGTTCCATGTGTCCTGCAAAATTCCCAGCGCCCTCCTCATCCCCTGCCACCACCACCATTCCCCCATGGAGCCCCAGGGATCTCCTTTTGTCATGAAAAGGGCTGATTTACAGCTTCTCCTACCAAAGCAGAATTTTTGTCCTCTCACACATATTTTCTTTCACCAGCACTGTTTTATTTGCTGTTTTGTCACATGGTTGCTCAACATCCTGAGCAGAGTCCCCATTTCTCTGTAACTCGTTAGATTTTCCTGCTGGGGTTAAGGCAGCTTTGACACATTTTACTGCACTTTTTACTTCCTTTTTCACTTGGCTGTTAAAAATGAGCCTCAGCCCCAGCTCATGGGTGTAAATGCACACACAGAGCACCCCTGGCACTGCTGGACTCTGTTCCTCAGACCTCAGTAACTAAAAACAACCTCCAGAGAGTGACCCAAATATGAGCCCACCCCATCCAACACAAAAATGAAAAACTAAAATCTTGTCAGAGATGTTTTGGTAAACAAAAAAGTAAGCTGGATCCATCAGGGCAGTGCCTGGTTTATGCTGCCTGTTAAGTCAGGGCAGAGGAGCTGCAGCCTTTGGGGTGATAAACTCTGAGAATTTGATCTGCACCATCTACAGCTGTGTTCAAATATCTGATTTAGAAAAAAAGATTTGGTTATGTAATACCATAAGAACAAAATAATAGAGAAAAAAAATGCAGTAATGTCATTGCCTCAGAGGGGAAGACCTGGTTCTGGTTCCTGCTTCCACCTCTGTTCCTGTCCCATAGGTCACACCAACCCCATCAGGGTTTGTTCTGGGCTACCCAGAGTGCCACCATGAGGGTAAAAGGAGGGGAGAATGAAGCTCCTTGAAGGTCAGGTACCTCCATGGTGACCACGAGGCTGAGCTCCAATCATTAAGATAATAATTTTCTACACCATTGTGCTCAAGTTTCCTTCTACTCCCATTTTTTCCCCCTGAATTCAGGGAAGAAAATGAAAAGTCCAAGCAGCCAGCAAAGGCGGGATGAACACAACGATGTGACTGAGTGCCATAAGGAATTGTGACAGTGAACCACTCAAATTATCTCCCATTTTCCCAGGGGCCCAACAGAGCAGTGAAAAGGGAATATCTTGGTGAGGCTCCAAGGTCATGGCTTCTACCACCCACAATGCTCAGCTTTGTCTCCCCACTTGCACTCCCACAAGTCCCAAGGGAAAAAACTTATTTTAAAGGATTTAACCCACCCAAGCTCTTGTTTTGGCTGACTCCTTTCCCTCACGTGCCACCAGATCACCAGTCCTGTGACCAGTGCCATTATGTGGGACAAATCCACAGCCACAGGACACTGGATATTCAAGGGCAGAGTAACTCCCTGTGGTCACACAAACCTCTGCACAGCTCCAGAGAAAGCTCCCAAGAGACCTGAGTGAAACAGAAGCTGAAACTCAGAGAGCTGTGAGGTTCTGTTTGAATGAGAAGTTTCTTAATTAAGTGAATCAACACAAACCATCAAAGCCCACAGCCCAGCCTGTTCCTGCTGCTTAACAGCCTAAAAATCCTAAAGCAGCACCATCCCAAACCCAAAAAGAACAGCAGCACTGCCCACTTCAGTGTCACGCTGCTCCTTGAGTTCCTTCACCCAAAATTTCTCCCTCTGGGCTCATCTGCCCAGCCCAGACTCTCTAGTGGGACTTAAATCCCTGGTGAGATCTGGTTCAAATCTCCACCGTGCTCTGCTGTAGATCCCAGCTCTGCAGAGAGGACACATCTTGCCTTCAAGCACAAGAGGGTTCTGGTTGGTTTTTTCAAAGAAAATATAAATGGAAACACAAAATCAAATGATATGGAGAAAGCACAATGAAGGATTTTGTGGAAGGAAAACATCAGCTCCACTGAGAAACAACAAATATTGGGATATATGGGTCTGCAAAAGGATAAATGCGTGTGTTATCCAGTGTATCTGCAAATGGGATTTTTATTGTATAAACAGTGTTTCCGGTCTAGGGAAAGTGAACTGGAAGGAGGTTGGAACTCCATGGGCTTTATGGTTAGAAACAACAAATATTGGGATATATGGGTCTGCAAAAGGATAAATGCGTGTCATGTCAAGTATATCTGCAAATGGGATTTTTATTGGAGAAAAACAGTGTTTCTGGTCTAGGGGAAGTGAACTGGCAGGGACCTGGAACTCCATGGGCTTTATGGTTCCTTCCAAGCCAAACCATTCTGGGATTCTAAAGGCTGTGAAGATCTGCAGCTTATTTTTTCCTCAGACAGCCACAAATTTGGTTTTCCCTCAATCAAGGATCTTGATCCAGGGGGAAAAATGCCCCAGCAGGCAGCAATCCTGGGCAAGCTGTGCTCAGCCACCTCCAGCAGCACATCCTCACCACAGCAAACCCTTGGAGATGGGGAAGAGGAGGAGCCGTGGCTTTGGAGCATCCTCCAGGGGTGCAGCAGTGCCCTGTGACTCCTGAGCAGCACGGAGCAGTGAGGGGAGCAGCAGGGAAGGCAGCTGAGGCACGGATGGATCTGATAAGCACAGAGCCCTTCCTGTGGCCCCCGGCTGCTCACGGGAGGGGAGCAGCAGCAGCCCCGCTCACCACGGAAGTGTCGGGCTCAGGGTGTGTGAAAGTCTCATCCTCCCGCCTGTTTGGGGTTTTTTTGGTCATGAGATGAGGAGGCAAAGCTGTAACTGCTTTCAGCTTCACGCTGGGTGACAATGCACACTGGTAAGGGAAGTGTGGTCTGAACTGGGGCTTCTACATCACTCTTATTTTTTAAAATGTTAAGGATTAATTGGTGCAAAGGGCTGAGAACATGAGATCACACAAGCTACGGCCACCAAGGGCAGAGAATCCAAAGGAGTGAATTACTTATCACCAAGTGACCACTGAGATCTTCACCCACAGAACCAAACAGCCTCCACAGCCCTTCCTTCCCAAGGGATTTGGGGCAATCAGGTGGAATGTGTGGGTTCATCCATAGAACCATGGAATGGCTTGGGTGGGAAGGGACCTTTAAGGTGATCTCATTCCACCCCCTCCATGGGCAGGGACATCTTCCAATGCCCCACGGTGCTCCAAGTCCCACCCAGCCTGGCCTTGGACACTTCCAGGGATCCAGGGGCAGCCTGTGCCAGGGTCTCCCCACCCTCACAGGGAAGGATTTCTTCCCAATATCCCACATAAACCTCCTCCATCCATGGATCCGTTCCTGATGAATCCCACATGCTGACTCTCTCATTCCAGAATAAAAGCACTGGGTTCCACACCAGCAAGGGATTAGGTTTGTGGGAAGGAAGTTCCGTGTTCCAGAATGAGGTGTCCACCCATGGATTTAACCCACAACAGCTCCAAACATCAACAAGCCCTAAAACATCAACAAGCTCAGGAAAGCACAAACATTTCTGCAAGACACAAACCACCATCCACAGTGAGAATGAGTCTGCAGACAAGGAACTCACTCTCACATCTGTTAAGGTGGAATTCAGGGCTGTCACAGCACAAAAAGAGAGAAAATACATTCAAGTAAACAGAATAGCTGAACTATAAGAAATAATTTCCTTGGGAGGTGGAGTGAGAGGTGGAGAGCCTCTAATTACTCTCAAGACAGGAAATACACCCATCCTACTGCCTAGGTAATATCACAAATATACACTCATAATGAAGAAATAATGTTAATGCAATAATGTTACTGTAATTATCCATATTGTAATTATTTTGGTGGCAGCCTGGAAGCTTCAATCAGTGCTGGCATTTGGGCACTGTGCCACAGCTGGCAGCAGAGCCATCCCCCACCCGGCCTGGAATTAGGACAGGCAAAGCAGCTTTAATCCTTCCAAGCCTGACCTCGAGCTCAGCCCTCCCAGGAGGGTGATTCAGTCACAAAGTGGAGGTTTTGGGGGCTGCACCCCACTTATCTGGTCCTACACAGCTCTGCTGTGAGCCACCTGCAGTGCTGTGCCCAGTGCTGGTGTCCCCAACGTCAGGAGGACATGGAGATGTTGGAATGAGCCCAGAGGAGGCCAAGCTGCTGAGGGGCTGCAGCACCTCCCCTGTGCACACAGGCTGGGAGAGAGGGGGA